GAAGCCTCCCTGACACCTCTGGGCTACATTAAGGTCCCTTCCTCCATGTTTCCTAGGCACCTGCATTTCTGTTTTCATAGAACATTTGGGAGTTACTTATACACAAAGAGAATACCAGTCCTGCCTGCCTGCCTGCCCTCTATTACCTCAATTGGAAAACAGAGGTAATAAACTATCTACCTTCTGAGGTGGCTGGGAGGATTAAATGAGGAACCCCGGTATACTTTGATAAAAGTTGGTCAGTGTTGGTGGCTGAGAGGGGCAGGTTTGCTGGGTGTGCGTTTTGGTTATTTGAAAGGTTATGTATTCCTGAGTGCTTTGGTGTACATCCAAAAAAAAAAACAAAAAAACCGCCACACACAAAAACAGACGGAATGGAAGCAAATGCTGTTGAATGATATAATACATGGAGGGGTCTGAAATCATTGCAATGAAATGAAATATGATAGGATGAATAAACTATCACTCAATTCACAATAAAAACAAACAAAAAAGGCATCCAAACTTGGGGGAAAAAGTTGGTCAGCATTAGCCAGCTGATATTAGAATTAACTATAGTGAACACTCAGATGTGTGTTGTGACACAAAATCTCAACAAAATGTTTTCAAGTCAGAAATCACAGCCTAGATAAACTGGAAAAGGCCACATTTTCACTATTATTCTTCTATATCACATCAGCTCCTTCAAATTCTAGGGGACCTGGCTAACTAGAGTCTGGCTGAGTCTCCAAGGACAGATGGGCAGAGTGTCTTGCATCTCCCTCAGACTCCCTACTGGTCTGTCTCACTCACGTGGTCTGTGAGCCAGCAGCATGTGCTCATCTGAGTGTATTAGAAATGCTGAATCTTGCTCCCTTCCCGGAGACCTAAATCAGAATTTGCTTTTACCACATTCAAGTTTGGGAAGCACTGCCCCACAGAGCATCTCAGAATGAAGGACTAAAAAGGATATGAAAAAGAGACAAACCCTCATGTGTTACAGGTCCTTATTTCTAAACTAGTGCATCTCCATTTTATGGATGAGACATCTGAGACCCATCAGTGACACTGATCTGCCAAAATCCGTTGTCTGGGCAGCTCTCCTCACTCTATGGAAAACTCACATTCTTCCCCATCTCAAAGGGGTCTGGCTTGCTCCCTGCTCCATTTCCAAACCCGGGCTGTCACGTGTGCCCTTAGTGCCTCAGTTCTCTTGGCCACCAGACAGGACTGGACACCAGGTTGAGTCTGGGAAAGTGGCTGGGTCACAGAAAACAGGTGAGGGAGGGGCCGGTGGGAGGCACCCGGTACAACCTGAGCTAAGGCAGGGAGGCAGCGTGAGAGTGTTTGCTCTGCCAGTAAGGTTGGGCCAGACCACCGCAAACAACTCCCCCAAGTGCTCTGTTGAGAGCCCCCTCCCTGTCACCCAGCCCCCGTGGGAATGGCTCCGGCCAAGAGCTACCATCAAACACGCTCCCTTCTCCCGGGGCCTGGTGACTTCTTGACAGGTTACAGCCCCAAAGACAAACAGATTCTACCAAGCAAATAACTGTTGAGCAGTGGAGGTGTTACGGAAGACCTAGGATTGGGTTTGAGCTGCCAGAAGACACAGGTGAGGAGGGTGGGGGCCACTCCCCTACAGAGAACAAACAGCTGTGGGCACCTGGATATCAGGATGCAGGTACACTGTCTCATCACAGCACTGGGGGTGGAGGGCACAAGCGTTCAGCCCAGGGGAGGTGTCTCTGGACTCATCTCCCAGGCCACACCCAGGCCATCACTGCTGAGACACAAAAGTCTTGCATTCAGATCCATGATGGGACTTTTGAGGGTTCCTCAATTTCTCTCATGACCACAGGTTCCCTAATGGAGCTCTCTAGAGGGAGATGGCCAGGGAAACACACACACACACACACACACACACACACACACACCGCTCCTGCTTAGGGCTGCCATCATCCGGAGCACACACTCAGCTTTGCCAGCCAAGGTCTCTGGATGAAAGGCTGGCAATCAAGTGAAAGTAATGCCAGCATTTGGGGGGTAAGGCTACCTATGGGGCTAAGCCTGACTTGGTAAGCTGCCAGACACAGGCAATTCCCTTTGCTCTCAGATCTCCCTCTTCAACACAGAGGGGTACTGATATGGCAGAGGGCAGAGGAGCGCTGAGCTCTTCAAAGTGCCATAGACATGAAGGGATGGGTCCCGTGAGTGAGTTCAACATTTGCAGTTCTGTTCAGTTTGCAGCAAATAGGGTGGGTTTTAAGGTCGCTCTGAGGTCAGCCTACTAACACTCACCTAATCCATAATGTACCTGAAGGAGAGTCTTTAACACCCAGGAATGTCCCACACGTTCCCGATTCTAAATCTAGGATGCTGGGGCTTGGGTGTGAAGGAGAACGAGCCCTTCACACCTCCGCCTTGTCTTCTTTTCCAATGGGAAAGATGCCCACAATGTCTGTCCTGCCTTCTTCTATCACTCCTGGATCTGTGTTAGGTGTTAGGCACTAACTCAGCAGGGATTTCTTGAGTGCTGGAGAAAGGGTAATCAATAGAGGTATGGTGCCTACCCTAGAGGCCTAGAGACCATTCACCTTTCTGGTCCTGGGTGCCAGGAAAGGCAGCAGATTCAATGATTACTGCAGGACTGGTTTCCCAAACACAGAATGAACCTCATGGTCTGTTTCCCCATCTGCAGAGACCAAAAAGGGCCTATCATAGAACCACCCTGGGGACAAGCAGGTACACAGGGGGCTGATGGAAGCAATAAAACTCACCGACACATATAAGTTTGTGTGTGTGTGTGTTAATTTAATCATACAAATATTCATTTATACAGTAAGGAAAAACCTCCTCATCTTCATCTCCTTCAGGCACCACAAGGTCCCACCATAAACACCCACCCAGCTCACTTGCTACACACACCACTGTCTAGGTGGAGGGGCAGCAGTGGCTGCCCCTACATTCACCCCAGGAAACAAAGGAAAGGCGGGTCAGGTGGGGTGGGTAGGGGAAATTCACTTGTATTATGAGCCCTGGCAGCCCCACTGCCCTCTCCTGCTGGAGGGCTCAGTTTTAATGTGGGAGGTGTATATTGTCATGCCTACCTTGCCACCCTCAGGCCATACCAGCTATCTTGGTGAGCTTCTCTCTGTGCTGAAAGTGTTCTTGATGGGCTTAGGATTGCAACCAGTGCTTACTGAGGGGGAGAAAGGTGACTGAATCTTGTAGAAAAATGCCCCCAAGTCAACTGTCCCCATGGAAAAAAGAAAAAAGGCATGCACACGTGCACACTCCCACACACACCTCACACCATGCATACAGATAGGCTTTTCCCAGGTCTGAGCCCCTGAGGATGGTGTCTGACAACCTTCCACTTTTAACATTCCAAGAGGAACAGGGACTACTGGGGCTTAGGGGGTGGCGTCTATCACCTCACAAGGGGAGGAGGAGAAGGGTCTAGGAGGCAGAATGAATGTTACTTTGAAGCCCACTGCACCCTGGGAAAGCCACAGTCCCACTGCCTCACTCCAAGGTGTGGTTTGCTCTGGCCTGGGAGTGCACGGAAATGGTTTGTTCTTGGGGGGAAGTCAAGGTGCCTGGGACACTGAACTCAGTAGGTGAAGTGGCTTGCAAGCGGAGGAGCTGGATGACTCTGGCAGTGCCAGACTCGCTCAAAGTGTGGTCTGTGAAGCCCCCGCGGAACCAGGGCAGGCAGACCCTATTTGGAAATCAGAAAAGGGCACCCAGTGTGGGGTAGATGAGACAGCCAGGGAACCAGGAAATGCGAAGCCTTCCATGATTCTGCCAGGGATAGCTCAAGAGGTGCTACACTGAGGGTTATGAAGCTGGGAGGAAAGGCTGGGTGTTCGTGGCTCCAGGGTGGTGGTGTCCCAGAAGGTTGGCACCACCACAGCAGCAGCAGTCTGGGTCTTATAGGGCCCTCAGACAAAACGCCATCCTGAGCCCTGTGGCCTTCCCTCCACTGGGGATCGGGCATCACTGGCACACCTCAGACCTGGTTGCTCCACCTTTCTCAGCAGGCTGGCTCTCCCCTCGCCCAGGGCTCCTCCACAGGACCTATGTTTATTCTCCTCCCTAGATTTTGAGGGAAGGAAGTGAGCAGGCAAGAGGGAGAATCTCATACAAACTTTTTCCCACAATCAAACTTTAAAAAAACAACAGTCTCAGAAGAGGATGAGGAGGAACAAACAACACACATTTTTGGAACTCAGACACCCAGAGACAGACGGGCAGGCAGACCCTCTTCCACACCCAGGCTATATGACCCCTTGCAGCCACTCATCACCTGGTCTCCCTGGCTTGTCTCACACTCTCCAGGGTGGGTGGAGTGTGGTAACAAGTAGGGGACCTTTCAACTGCACCTTAGATCCACACTCCTGGCTCCCTTATTACATTCCCGGCTATGGAACCCACTAAGACTCGAGGAAAGGAGGGGTGAGAAGAAGGACTTTGCATATTCTAGTATCTTTGGCAGACAGCTGTGCTAGCCTGGTTTCTGCTTCCCGCGGATATAACCACATCTCCACCTGCTGGAATCCAAAGGATGCTTGTGGGGCTACCTGCACAAATGAGCGGCCAGCTGGTCCGCCTCTGCTGTGGCTGGGTTGCGCCTTGCTCACCATCCCAGTAATTACCATCCTGTGCAGGGCGGGGACCCTTACGTGTCCGTGTGTATGTGGTCTCCAAGGTCAAGCAATCTTGCCTGTGGCTCTTCCCTGTCTGGGGCTGCATTTTCATACAGAACAGCTCAGCCTCACTAATGGGCTGGGCAGATGCCACAAGGGACAAGAGGAGGGAAATGCAGGGAAGGGGGTTGTGTGACCACAGAGAAGCATGTGCTACCTTCCCATGTGCTCACTGCACAGTTGCTGGTCACTGCACCATGCACGCATGGGCAATGGACACCACCTCCCCACACCCAGAGGCACTATGCCACAGCAGGAAGAATCCACAAGCGCAATAAGCATGATGACATTTCTCTCTGCCAAGAGAAACATGGAAGAAAAGCAATTTGAATCATTCCAAGAGCACACAGGACACCTCTCGGCCTCACACTCTCCTGTATCACCCGAGATCTGTCCTCAAGACTTCCTCTGCTGATCACACAGGGAAGTCTGGTCTTCAGAGAGGTCCTCCTGATGGTGATGACAAGCCACAGGCTTGATGAATACAAATGTCAAAGGTGTAAATCAACAGAAGATTAAAAGGAAAAGGAGGAGGAAAAGGGTGATAACCCACTGACTGATGCCATTACACACAAATGGGGTCAGGGACATCCCAAGTCATGTGGTTCGGCAGATGGACCCTGGTAGCACTGACCCGCAGAGTCCCAAAACATGCCACTCTAGCTTTGAAGCCTGAATCGCTTCCAGAGCAAGCAGCTATTCTATGAAGAGTACAATAGCCCATATTTAAAAGAAAAACAAATGGGGAAAGAGGGAGGGGGAATTAACATGTGCTCAAAATGGCAACCTCTCTGTAGGCAAAATAATTTTTGTTTAAAAAGATGGCTTTTTTTCCCCCGTTTTAACTTTCTTTCCCTTCCCGAGTGACCTAATGATTTATTAAACTGACACCTAATAAACAAAACCCAAAGTGGCTGCATGGATTTCTTCTTGGTAGCCTCAAACACCAATCCTGTGATTCAGCATTCACACATGCATACTGAGTTTACTCAAAACTAGTCTGTTCTGCTTCTTCCTCTTCTTCCGGGTGAGAGGTCAGAGCCAGGGGTCCATGCGGTGTGGTCTGCAATCCAGAGGAACCCCTTGCCCTCCCCCCCAAAGTCAAGCCTTCTGTCTTTTAATTTTTCTTCTTGCTGAGACACCCATTTAAGACTGGCCGAAGGGGTAAGGCCCGTGGAGCCCCTGGAAGAGAGTGAAGACAGTCAGTGATGGTAGACACAAGTGCAACTTAACCACACCAAAATCAAAGAAACGGCAGTTCCTAGAGAGCCAAAGGAAGCCCCATGCACAGACCAGGTCTGAAGGTTGTTCTTGTTATACAAAACCTCAGTGAGGCCAAACATCAGTCCATTTCAAATTGCTAAATGTCCTTACTAAATCACATCCAAAGAGATGGGACTCTTGGGAGTGATCCCCTGCCCCCACTCCCTTGTGACTTCTAGATCAGTGCCAATTTCTTCCACCCAGGTCACAAAGCCTTCCTTCTTGACAACACTGTCTCAATACTGCTGTTAAACATCCTAGTACAATTACTCGCTGTGCCTTAGCTTCAGATGTGTAGGCTACGGTGGGCGAGCAACTTCTATCAACCACAGAAACAACTGCAGTAGCAACGGCGGCTGTCTGAGCAGTTCAATGCCAGGCATGGTGCTAAAAGCTTCACACACTGGCTTCACAATACATCTCAAACTCTGAAAGCCAGGCAGTATCATTATGTCTACGAAGGGACTTCAAAGAATGGGTAGAAAAATGGAATGAAAAGAATGGGATTTTCCCACAAAATTTTTTGAGGCCTCTTATATTTTACTAATGAGTAAAGAATATGCAGAGGCTAAGAAACTTCTCAAGGTCATAGGGTTAGTAAGAAGCAGAGCTGAGATTCAAATCCAAGGCTGACTGCTCTTTTCCCCATACTGCCTCTTCTAGGGAACTACATCTCTTCCTTGCCCCATGATGGCAAAGGCTGATTCAAAATTCTTAAATGCTCTTTTGTTGGTCACACTCTCTCCCTATATTGAGACACTAACGTGTCAACGCTACATACAGCTGCATGAACTACTGAAGGATGACAGGAGCCTGTGCTGCCCTCACACCTCACCCCAACCCCATGTATACTTGGAAGGACCCAGCAAATGCCAAGACTGGTAGGGAAGATGAATGGGGATCAGCCTCTCCAGGGCCCGGAGAGTCTCGGCCATGACCATGACAACATTAAGAATATTGAACCTAAGCACAACACCGGGGTGGGGAGACACATGAACATTTGATATATTCCAGTGGCTTGAAAGAAGCATGGACAATCATAATTTGACTACTTTAAAATCATACATTTCTTTGAAATTTTAAAAGCTTGGTTTTAGGGTCCCCAGAGATGAACTTTTCAGTGTGACTTCCATCTCTTTGGCACCTATAATGGTACCTTGCCCTTAGTAGGTGCCTGATCTATCTGCTCAACTAGTAACTGAAAGATGACAAGACATTTCTGAGGCTATCACTGGGAGTGCCGGAACCCCACTACGTCACAAGAATACTGGCCATTCCAAAATCAAATATGGAAAAAAAGTTTTTAAACTGCTGCTAAAGCCTGAGAACACAAGTTCTAAGTCATGCCATCCTCAAAGAGGTATGGCTCTCTGGAGGAGATAGTCAGAGACACACAGCACTCCAGGGTCCCTGCAGTGAGACACAGGGTACACGGAACTAGGAGAAGATCTGGGTTCTACTCCAGCTTTGTACGTTGGGTCAGGTCTCTTTCCTCATCTATAATGAAGAACCTGGAAATAATTGTTCTAGATTTTAGGTTCTAGGATCTGATTCCAAGTGTGGTGCTGTAGGATCAGCACTGGACTATGAACCCTAAGGTAGGCAGTTCAAATCCACTGGCAGTTCAGCTGCTCCTTGGAAACCTTATACAGGGTCACTATTTGCAAAGAATTGACTTGACAGCATTAAACAACAAGAGATGACAAAAAAGGTCTGGCTCAGGAGGCTGAAAAACAGTATTCCAAGAAAAATGCCTTTTGGTAAGACCAGCGGTTAAATCTGCCAAGAATGGGAATACTGACAGTAAAGTTTGTTTCCACCATTTTTACCCTCACAATGGAAAGGTAATGGCTTTTTCCCCCTCATATAAAGCTTCAAATGGTCAGAAGTATGTCTCTAGTTGCTTGGTGATTAACTTGGGGGGAGGGTAGGCCAACAGTGATAGAACATCAACTGTGTGCTGCCAGATGGGACCTAAGGACTTAACATGCTCTCTCTAGTCCTCACATAGACCCCTGAGACAAGTAGAAACTCCTAAGCTCAGAGGGATGAGGCAACCTGATCCAGGGAAAAGCATTGGTGAGTGCAGGCAGTTGGTGTTTACCAAAATGCCATGTGCCAGCACAGCCCTTGCGCCAACCAGGCCTCCAGCAGGCAAGCTCTCTGCAGCCATGGCACCCACCCACTCCCCTCAACCAAGTGAGTGCCGGGACAGAAAGGGCTCTCAGGGCCTGGCAGGAGGGTCACATACACCCAGAGGTGGAAATTAGAGCACAATCCTTCTCAACAATATGCAATCATCCAGAACGACCCAAGTAAAGCAATAAAGGCTTAGATTCCCTTAAGATTTAGAACTAATACAATACTCAAAGGTCCCTGGTGCAGGAAAAAATGCAGAGAAAAATAAAATCCAAAAAACAAATAGTACTTGTTTTTTATGAAATCTTTACCCCTTTTATCCTAAATGCAACTGCTTTTCAGTCCAAAGCTCTACATACTTCACACGGGCCTTTATAAAGCATGTCCTGGGTCTTGTACTTGGAATGTTTGGAGAAGGGAGTTCAAAACTTTGCCAAGGAGCTTTTGTGTATTTCCATTTTATAAAGTAAAAAGTTCCATGTAACTAGTAAAGAGGTAAATAAAGATTTGTGCATTTTCAGTTGTAAACTTTCATGCCGCAACCCTCAGACCATTCAGTGTGGTGCATAACTAGTTTAGAATGGGGAGCGGTCGCCGATCCTCTATTTATTGACTGAGGTTCCTTGCTTTGGGGAGGAAATATGCTACCTAATTTCTTTCCACCCAGAAAATGGCATATTGGAGTTGTGATTGTTTAATTAGGGCAGAAAAGCGGCTTTGTGACACAAGCTCCATTTTCCTGCCCCTCCTCTCCTCCTCTCTCCCTCAATGAAAACCACCAATACTTCAAGGAAGGGTAAGAGAGCCAATTCTATTTCGAAACTACTTTATGATCTGGACTCCCATATGCAGGATTATAGGTGTCACAGGTGATCACAGAACACAGGTCACACAACACCCAGTTGTATAGGAAAAGCCTGGCGGAGATTCCAAGAACAGCTTGTCCAGGGCGTCCTGCGGCAGGAAGCCAAGCGGGAAGTGCCTTCACCACCAGGTAGATGACGGTATATTCCAAATGGGAGGCCCATCCACATTTCAGGTTCCAAGACCTGGTGTAACAAGTTCTGGTAGCCAATGTCCCCAGCCCCAGACTAAATTAGGGTTTGGCAGTACACACAATACATATTCTCTTCAATTTTTTATCGAAGTGAAAAGCAAATGACAAACATTTTACCTAGCCGCACATGAACAATCTCTCTCCTACAACAGTCATGCCACCACTATATGGGGAACAGACCAAAGGATAGATGGATTAGATGGCAGGCACCACACAGCCCTCAATTGAAACTTTTGACTCAAATAAAATTTGGGGCCACCAGCATGATTACAAAATCCAGAGAGGCTGATAGAGAAGGCCACCAACCTCCTTAAGGAGGAATCAGTTTCTACCATGTAAGGACAAGCAGCAAAGCTGGATTTATATCCCTGTTGGTAAAAAGCTGGATAATGAAGCTCTGAAAAGAACCTCTTTATCTGATTCTAGACTCCAAGTTTAAGGCCAGCTCCCCAGGACCTACCCAACTTTTACAAGCACAAGTTTTCAAATGCTGCAGTTCTTAGAGCAGCCCCACATTTACTAACGGACAAGAAGGTGTTTCTTGATGAAGAAAAAGAGCCTTCAGGTCCACAGGGGCTAAGGTGGGATCTGTATTACCTCAGTCTTCTACCCTGTTTCACTAACTGCTGTTGTGAGCCCTCTTAAAAGGACAGAAGCTCCGTATTCAGCAGTTAAGACAAATTTGTGCTTGCTGGAGAAGGGGACCAGAACTCCACCTCAAGCCAGCTGAATGACTGCAGTAGTACTGCGAGTCACCATCTGGCTAATTTTTTAAAAATACTTTTAAAAAGAGGATGTTTGTAAACATAAAAGATTTAAGTTTAGTCCTAGCCATCACACTCTTCTGGAAGATATAGTAATTATGATTCTGTATTCAACGTAAGCCTACAAAAGCAACTGTTTGTTTCCCCACAAATATATAGTTACCCCTGTGAACTAGCAGACATGTAAAGTCAGCAAGTAATTTGGTGATCACTAATCTTATCTGGGAGTCCTGGTGTGGTGTTGTGGGTTAATGCGCTGGATTGCAAAATCAGTTTGACCTGCAAGTTCGGCGGTTCAAGCTCACCAGCCACTCCTCAAAAACCCTATATATAGGGTTGCTATGGGTCAGAATCAACTCGACAACACTTAACAACAACAATCTTACCTGAGTGTGAACCTGTAATGTATCTTAGAGTTCTTCTAAAAATGATACACAAGTCATAATAACCTTTCCAAAAACAAAGGATTCTAAATCAGTGCCACTGAGAAAAACCAATAACTATATATGTCAAAGTACTAAAACATATGAGCTATTCCTGCTTCAACCAGTCCTTTTTTTAAAAAAAAAAGTCAATTAATTAATTCTCAACTCTAGGAAGCACTATGCAATCTGGAGAGCTGGTGGTCCTTGCATGAGAATGAACTCTGGTACTCTGTATGATCTGTGCCTTGTGCACAGGAGACTCACCTATCAGTACAATGTGTGAATGAATGAATGAATGTGCAGTGCACTGTGCGTCGGCTCTCTGGCTTTTGATCTTCCAGAGGGAACAAAGGGCTAAAATTCCTAATGAAACTAGAAAGTCTTACTGAGGGGTTTCTGAATTTTACTCTTTTGCTATATAAAAGCTTGTTGTTTAGATAAACCACCACAACACGGAAACTTTCACATACCTGTCTTTATTTCATTTTTATTTGTGATTTGATTTAAATAAATAGAAAGGTTCACAGAGGTTAA